TGTGTGTGTGTGTGTGTGTGTGTGTGTGTGTGTGTGTGTGTGTGTGTGTGTGTGTGTGTGTGTGTGTGTGTGTGTGTGTCACCCCACCTAACCGATACTCAGCTTCCATAAGCCGCTTTCGCTCACGTGTAGTGCCCCCAAAAGTGAAGGACCTCGCACTTGGCAGCATTCGCGGCCATACTCGTCGATTTCAACTAGTAAGCTTACATTTCATAATACATTCTTTATCAACACCGAGTATGGGACTCGAATCCACGACTACACGTCTATGAGTCTCGCGCTACATAGACTAAGCTTACCGGGCTCTAAGGAAGATTGATTATTGGAAAGTGCGGGGGGATGATAAACAACGCGCGCGCGAAGCTGATCCGGAGGATAGATAGGCTGATACGCCAGAAGTAGCGGTGTGGCAGGTGAACACCTCCCCAGCTCTCTTCCGTGCGGGTGCCTATCTGAGCGATCTGCTACCTCGCCTGATAGAGGAGGTCGTACAGAAGGTGGTTGACCCGGTGTTCCCTTCACCGGTGCCGCCGCCACCACCGCCACCATCTCAGCCAACGGGCAAGGCGGCCGCCGGAGAGCCGGAAGTAAAACTGTCGGCGGCGGAGGCGGCACCAAGGTCGCCATTGCTGGATGGCTTTGTACGAGTAGAGCTGGACGAGCAACTGGCTGCTGCCGCCGCCGCCGCCACTTACTCTCTGACGTCGGGTGGCAAGGCGGCGGGCAGGAGGGGGGGTGCCGGATCGCCGGCGGCGGCGGTGGTGGTGCTGGTGCCGGCAGTGGGGTTGAGCTTTACGGGCGGGGCGGCCATAATCCCCGAACCGCTCCCTCCAGCCCCGGGGCGCCCTTGGTTCGGGCACGCGGGCAGCAAGCTCATCACCGAGGCATGGCTGCGGTATGGAGTGGATACGCCAGCATCCCGCAACACGGCCGTCTGGGCATTCCATGCGGAGCCTAACCCGTCCCACCACCTCCACAACTATCCCTCTATCCTCCCACACCTCGCCGACATGAGCCAGCACTTCGATGACCTCCTGGCTTCCGGCGTCACCGAGCAATATGACCCCAGCGTGCATGGCTCCGAGACCGACGTTGCTGCCGTCGTCAACCCCCTGCACGTCGTCCTCAAGCCTGATCGCTCCATCCGTCCCATAACCGACCCCTCTCGGTCTGGGGTCAACGAGTGCATGACCAAGCTCCCCTGCCCGCTCCCCGATCTCGCCACACTTCTCGAACAACTGCCAGCCAACGGCTTCCTTGGGAAGCGCGACCTGGCGAGCGGTTTCCACCACGTCAAGCTGGCGCCAGAGGCGCGCCGATTCATGGCCTTTCGGCACCCCTGCACCGGCGCGCTGCAGTGATGGGTCGCCCTTCCCTTCGGCGCCAGTCAAAGCCCAGCGATCTTCGTGGAGCTTACCGCCCGCCAGCATTTTCAGCAAGAGTGCGACCGCCGGGGCCTGCAGGTGCGCATCTTCGTCTACGTGGATGACTTCATGATCATGGGTCACTCGCACGCGGACATCCAGGGCGCCTTTCAGGTCCTCGACGACATCGGCGCTGAGTTGGGCCTCGAGTGGAAGGCCAGCAAGGACCGGGGGCGCGACGCCCCCTTGCAGCAGCTGGAGTTCCTGGGTATGCTCTTCGACACCATCCGCATGGAGATGCGTATGGCCCCCGATTAACGGCAGCGATATGCCAGCGACGTCACCGCCATCCTAGAGGCGGCCGCCACAGGGCCCGTCCGCAGAGGAGACCTTCAGGCACTTGCCGGCCGCCTCACGTTTTTGGCGCGCACGTGCAGATGGGGCTACACATTCCTTCAGGGCATGTACGACGCTCTCTGCACCCTTCAATACCCCCCGCCGTCATCCGTCGCCCTTCCCGAGGGGGCACTTGACGACCTGCGCTTCTGGCAGAACGTGCTCCGCCCGGACTCCTCTGTCTGGGACGGTGTCAAGCGTTGTGTTATGGCCAATCTGGACTTGGCGAGGGGGGAATTCTTGAGGGAGGAGGGCGCCACCATCTTCACAGATGCGAGTGGCGCGGGCTTCGGGGCGGCCTGGGACCGGGCCGAGGTGCAAGGCCACTGGTCCGAAGGGGAGCGGCGACTGCACATCGGTTGGCTGGAGCTCTCAGCGGTCCTGCGGGCGCTTCAGTCCTGGGCGCCACGGTTGGCGGGGCGCCGGGTGCTGGTCCGGTGCGACAACACCCAGGCGGTAGCGGCCATCAACCACGGTTC